TACAGGGTCGCTATGGGTCGGAACCGACTCGACGGCACTTAACAACAACAACAACAACAATAATAGGAGAAGATTTTAATATACCACTTTCACAGCCTAAATGTCCATCAATGGAAAAGTGGATGCACAAACTTTGTTACATACACACAAAGTAAAACTGCAACGTTGAAGAATAACGAATAATCTGTGAAACACTTCATAACGTGGATGGACCTGGAGGATATCATGCTGAATAAAACAAGTCATTCACAAAAGAACAAATATTGTATGAGACCACTATTGTAAAAACCAACAAAAGATTTTCATACTAAAAGAAACATTCTTTGGTGGTTACCAGGGGTGGGAGGGAAGGGTGAGTAATTCACTGGCTAGAGGGCAGACACATGTTAATTCAGATGAAGGGAAAGGCAATTTACAAGAAGGGGAAGGACAATATACAAGATGGAGATTGGCTAAAGAATGATGAAGATAGCTGAAGACACAGGGAGGTATGCAAAAGCTAAAGAGGATATAAATAGTAATATATACACAATCTTGGAGTCATGGTGTGGCGCTGAGGGTTAACACGCCAGACTGCAAAGCCGTTTGAACTGCAAGGTCAGCAGTTCAAGCTCACCAGCTGCTCCTTGAAAACCCTATACAGGGTCGCTGTGGGTTGGCACTGATTCGATGGTACTTCACAACAACAACAACACAACCTTGGAACAACAGTGTTATAGCTCACAAAAATATGAGTTTGAGGATATCTACATTGGAAACCCTAGGGAAAGGAAGCAGGATAACTGTTGTTGCATGGAAGGACTGCAATCATTGAGATGAAACAAAGTGTATGATTTGTTGAACATAAAATGAATGACCTTGTCTGCAAACCTTCACTATTTCACAATAAAAGGTTTTTTGGTTAAAAAAGAAAAAAAAGATCTCTGCCATGAAAATCTTATGAAGTTCTACTCTGACACACATTGGGCCACCATAAATTGGGATCAACTCTACAGCAACTGCTTTTTGTTTTGCTTTATTTTATAAGGTGGGAAAAGTTTTATCAGAGATTGTGGACATGCCTACTTAAAAATTCTAAAACAATACGAGAGAAAAATGTAATTTTTCATTTCTAGACCCAAGCTGCAGTGACTATTTTGTGCAGCATGGGAGTGAGCATGAGGAGTGGCAGGTTGTACATGAGTGAGGTGGGTCATAAGCCTCGCAGAATTGGGCATCTCAGCAACAGCGGGGGCTGTAATAAAAGGCCCAGGAATATGTGTGACTGAGAAGATGAAAATAGGTGAATTAAAAGTCTCTGACCCAGGTCACCCTTTGCACCACTCAAATTTGCTCGTATTCTCCCACTGTATCTGGCTCTAATACTACAAAACAACCTCCATTTTTTTGTGAACTAGATGCCCTCACTTCCAAGTGTGAAGGAAGTCCATAGAGTTTCTAAAGCAAACTGTTGTCCTTGCTGCTACAGCTGGTTCTGAGACCCCCAGCCTTATCCCTTCACCATCACTCATTTCAGAATTTTCTCACTTTTAGTCATCATTTTTGCCATTCTAGGTTGGTTATCTGGAGAGTTAACCCAACATTTCATCCCTGAAGAGTCTGAACCCTCGGTCACTGTGCCTTTGATAGTTTTTGTTGCCGCATTTGCCATTACCCGTTCTTCTTGAGCACAGAAACATCAAGAGATACTCCCATGAAACCCTTAGGTTCCAGATACATTTCATCTAGCTCGTTGTGTAGCAGAATTGCCATGATTTCTCATGGAAATGGGGACAATTATCCTCACTAATATAATAAATTCTTACTTTGAAGTGGGCTACAGGCATTAGATAGACCTCTCAGTTTCAAGTTCTGTGGAATCCTTACTGGGACCCAGGACTACTACCACAGCAGAGTCTAAGTTTATGAGGAAAAGTAATTCATATCCTAAAAGTTGGTCACTGGCAATGATGGTTAAGGAGTGTGGATAGCGAACATTCTGCTTCCCTCCTCTGGTTCCTGGATTCATATATCCTTACTATTGGAGAAATAGCATTATCTATCAACTGCCTGTTTAGTGCACATGTAGTTTTCTGGAGGGCAGTCCCTTAACTACAAAGGTCATTTTTTTTCTCTGTTGAACACCTTTATAAAGCTCTTAAGCCAGCTAATTCTGTATAGTGACATACAATATAAAATCAGTGGAACATATAGAGATGTTCCCATTGGTACAACTCCATAATCTGAGCCCCTTGAGTTAAGACAATATTATACGGGGTACCTGGCTGTATATTAAGCAATCTGTAAGTCCTCACATGGTTATACAGGCAGAACTACTATGGACAAGGAAGAAAAATCCAGATTTATGTTAGGTGTCTATTCCAGTAAGCATAAATCACTATTCTTTCCAGGTAGAAAAGGTTCAGTAGAATAGACCTACCTACAACCAAGTGAGTGGCTGATGTACTTGAGTAATGGAAACTTGCTTTAATTTGTTAGTACAGTGGACATTTTTAAGCCTCAAAAGTAAAGGGGAAACCATTATCTTTCCATTTTCTTCTTCCATTGGTCAAAGATTTACCACACTGTTACTTTCCTTAAAGTTTTGTGTTAAATGTGTATGAGAAATGAGCGGATGCTGATGGACACCATCGGGTTCCTCTGTTGTTAATTGTTGTCTAGTTGGTTCTGACTTATAGTGACCCTGTATAAGGAGCTCTGGTAGCGTAGTGGTTACGAATCGGGCTGCGAGCCTTAAGGTCAGCGGTTCGAAACTACCAGCCGCTCCGCGGGAGAAAGATGAGGCTTTCTACTCCCGTAA